ACAGAGTATCAAACAATTAGAAACGAACACGTTATTCACTTTGACAGCACAGAACAGTCAGCAACAAGAACAGATTAGACACACAGGAAATACCTTGAGTAACAAAGCAAGGTGGTAGTCCTTTGAGATCGTGAAGAAGGAAGCAGGAAGGAGAGCCGTAAAGTAAAAGAAGCAGAGTTAAGGTTTATTGAAGCTCAGGTTCATGTGCCATTTAGAAAAATAGTCTTTTATTCTTGTGGCAAATCACAAGCAGCTGGAGAACCAAACCAGCACAAGCCCCAAGATGACTAAAACCAAGTGTGAAGTGTATCACTCACACAAAACAATTACACTATTCTACATAAAGCCCTGGCTATTGAAAGAAGAAAAGGTATTTCTATGGCCATCTTGGAGATAACTGAAATGTGCTCCAAGGCTAAGAAAATAAAAGAATTGCCCACAATTGACATGTCACCTAGTGGGAAAGAAGAAACAGTGTACATAAAAAGCATTCAAAGAGGCATCGGTCAGTAATTAGTCTGTCATGACACTTACACTACTGAAATTACATATTTGGCTCATTTTCATTGTGGACAAATCAAGTCACTTTTCAAAGACAGTCACTGGATGTGAAGAGTCTCATAGTCATTCCCTCCCGTAGCACAGCAGAGTGCAAGATTTTCTATTATATCACTGTACGTCCTGCAACCAATTTAGGAGTTTCCTTCTTATCATTTTTAACATTACTATGGTCACAGGTTTTAAACAAATACAGGAATACAAATGCTCTTGAAAGCTCTTAAAGACTTCTTGCAAGTTAACACTAAGATTACTATACAGCATACCAAAAAGTGAAAAGTCATTTCCCTGCTTCAACTGTTTGCTAATTCAATTCAGTAGCCATCAGCCCCTCCATTTCCAAGGCCTTCTTTAAAAGCACACAAAATGCAGGACTAAAGTTTTCTGTGGGTAGCCCTCATGTTGCCAGCATGACATTATATTATCAATTTCATAAACTGATGAAAATTCTTCTCATCACTAGCTAGGCCAGTGCTTTGTGGCTATTTCAAAACCTTACTGCTTTGTTTCTTAGAAACTCTTAACTCTCAGCGTAAGCTTACCCACAACTAGTTCTTACAACTTACTTGCATCAAGGCTGTCCCTTAGCCTAAGTGATCTCCCCGAGTAGTGCCATGTTTATTCCCTTCTCTGTCTCTGAGAAGAATCTACAGGAGTGCAGTCACATTCCTTATTAGATTTAACACTGCGAATTTAAAAGAAATTAACCTCTGCTAGTCGTCTTCATCCCCTGATCACTTAAGTACTTTTTCTGCTGCAACTATTCCAATGTTTTGCTTTGTTCTTGAATGAAGGGGGGGAAAAAAAAGGTGCAATACCTAGAAGTGTTCAGCTCACTGCCTGAAGTTCTTCTGAATGCCCTTGAAAGCAAAAGCGGCCTGTCTGAAGAATCCAGTGCTTACATTTGTTTCAAGATTCACACACTTGCTACTTTTCCTCTGCAAAGTAGCTGTTATCTCTTTCAAAGTTTCTTTTTGATGGTTTATGAGGTTTTTTGATATGTGCCCAATGGAACAAGGCAGAGTAAAAGCTTCAGCTGAGAACAAAAATCTGTACATTATAGACACAACTATTTGTCAACCACTCATATGCATATTGAATCATCTGTCTAATCAAGTATGATACTAAAGCTTGAATGGATTTTTAAAGCCTGATAGAAGTTCTTTCCGATTAAGAAATATTTTCACCTAGCACAGATTTCTTCTAGAGTAAATAAAGTACCTCCTGTTCCACTGCCCCTGCTTTGTTTCTCGTCTCTCTTCAGAAACCTTGGGAAAGGATATAGATAAAAGCATCTGAAAAAGCAGAACTACTTTTCCCCCAGATAACGCTGAGTGACTAGCACAACTTGACTCACATTGCCCTGTAAACAGAGGGACTGTTTTTCAGACCACTGATTAATTTCTTCCTGTCCCTGCCATTAAGGGTGCCAATTGTGCAGAAATCAATTTGTTTAACAGTCCATTTCAGCCTGATCAAACACTTATTTTAAGACAGGGACAAGGCTTAGATTCCAAGACCTAGAGAAGGAAAACTGCAATGCAGGTTTGCAGAATGTTCAGGTTGGGGGGCACCTCAGGAGGTCTCGACTAGTTTCTGCTCAAAGCAGTGTAAGCTATGAGATCAGACCAGGTTGTTCTGAGCTTTATCTGGTCAGGTCTTGAAAACAAAGGATGGAAACTGTGCAACTTCTGTGGTCAAACTGTTTCCTTGCTTGGTTGTCCTCAGAGCAGGCTCTTGGGTTCCTCTGAAGCAGTCTTCTCCAGCCTCTCCTCACAGGGCAAGTCTTCAAAGCCCACAAGGCAAGTCCTCAAGCCTCCCTGATTATTTGACCCTCACCTGAACTCCATCCAGTTTATCAGTATCTTTTTTGTATTGGGGATCTCTGGCTGGATGCAGTATTCCAGATGGGTGCCAAGAGAAAAGGGATAATCACTTTCCTCAACCTGCTGACTCTGCTCTTGTTAAAACAGCCAGTCCCAAGCACCTGCTACAGACTTGTAGTGCAGAAGTATGTAATTAATCCACAACCACATCATCACTTCAAGACCTGCCCAAATCTCCGGGATGAAGCAGTCCTCAGGATGAGGAACGGTGACCTAGTAGGTACTGCTCATCAATCCAAACACAGTACCTTTACCACTTACTGTGTTGTGTTTCATTAAAACGTGACACCACAAAATGAGTGCTATTATTCCAGTAGTAGATTGGACTATTCAAGGTAACAAGACATCTGCCTGTACAGGTTCACTGCCTCTGACTGTCACACATTATTTCTGAAGTTAAACATTTAACTCCAAACACATTTTAGTCATTCCTCATATTAAAAGTGCTACACTTTCATTTATACCAAGATCAGAATGAGACAATTTACTGTAGAAAGCATTAACTCTTTACACAGCAAAGCCAGACAATCCAAACAAATCTGATACCTAAAATACTCGCTTGCATGCATCCTGTGTGCCTACCTTTAAAATTTCCACTTTCAAAGAGAAAACTTTACCCTACATACTAAGCAATATGAAAAAGACTAATTCCACTGTAATGTCATTCTTGACACAGGTTCTTCAGCAAGTTTCACAGCAGATGCTAATTCTGACTACCTGCTTCCCTACTAATAATTTAGCAAAACATATTAGTACCTGGAAGAGCTCCTGGGATATCATGAATACTCAACTTCAAGATAACATCATTCAGTAACATGCTGCTTTATGAAAGCTAGCTTATTCTGTTAAACAGCCTAGTTTTTTCTATGAAAAATAAAAAAGCCTGACACTGACAGGCAACTCCTCTTAGATGATACAAGAGCAACTCATTTCTGTTAAATAGAATATAAGTATTTTCCAAGATTTCTGAAACATTTCTTATTTTTTGCTGTCTACTTAGCACTACCCATACCTGGTCTTCGAGCTGCAAAATTAAAGAAGTCTCACTAACTAGAAGGCTAGATTATGGCGCAACACAAAGCAAAAGCAGGACTATGTTCACACATAAGTTAAATGTGAAAATGTCCTACAGAAATTAAAATAATCCTGTAATACAGAATATGCTTCATGGTAATCATCAAAATCAACATAAAACGCATTTTGAATGAAGTTTCAAACACTCCTCCAAGCTTCATACGGGACAGAAGCAAGACTATAAAAAAACCAGAATTTTACACCAATGTGGTAAGGAGTACTATAATAACAAGTTCTCACTGGAGACGTACTGATTGCCACGCCGTCATTAGAAAACCGATGCATAACATGGCTAACTCCATACAAACTCCTAACAACTTTGCCAAAGATTAAAGAGATACAAGACAGAGTGCGACTCTTTGCATATAGCACTTTTCCTTGCAATTCTTAGTATTGAGGTTAACGGATATCAAGAGATGTGAATGCTAGATAAAGAACAACTTTGGAATTTAATACTGGTTTTTATATATAAGTTTCATATATTATTTAAAAGTTAGATATTAGTTGTCCAATCACATTTCACATAAGAAAGCTGACAAGATGATTTTACTGTCTTTCCTTTCAGATTATCACCAGTAGCTGTGTTTGAACTTATTTCTGATTATCTATTTCAAAGCTCTTACCTTCCAAAACAGAATACTACAGTGTCGACAGAAATGCAAGGTGTCCCCGTACTGTTCCTTTATTGGATAATATTTCTGAAGTGCAAAGTACATCAGCTTCCAGTCAATGTGACCCTTCTCTGATGGAATCAAATGCCTACAAAACTGGACATAAAATTAATATCTTCCTTTAAAATTATTAAAGAACTAGTCAAATCAGGTAAAGGACTGGGCGGAGGGGGGAGAAGTAGTTAAAATGAAGTTTTGTAACTGGAATTCTCTGAAGTCAATAATCTGACATCATACATCTCTGAAAAGCAGTGAGAGCAAGCTAGCCATTGAAAAAAATGGAAGGTAAAACACTAAAAATAGGAGAGCGCATATTCGCCAAGAAAAAGTAGGCCATACACAACTGATCTAACTCCACTGTCTTGAAATGATTCTAATTACAGTCAATAACCATTTAACAAAAGCAATATTTAGAGCCATAAGTAATTATATAATTAAAAAAAGAGGAATGAGATTAAAAAAATTATTGTGCCTTACAAATAGCATTTTTCTGTTAAGACAGTAACTATGGATTTAAATAATGTTCTTTCATTTAAAAAGCAGATACATGATTACTTTTCATGTTTACTTATGATCTTTCTAGAAGGACAGCAATAATCGGTGATTCACATAATTCTTGAGGACATAATCTGCATGTAAGGATTAGCTGATGCACAATGGCTATTTCTCCCCAGCTTAATGCACAGCCAAGGTTTATTATGTATGTATTTGTAAAAGGCTTCTTATTCCACTCAGAGTGGATTAATGCTAATGCATTAAGGGCTTGCTTCATTCAGAAGACGACTACTAGATGGGGAGAGTGTCACTGCCTTTGTGACTTCAGCTACACTTCACTCCATTTCATAATAGCTTCCCTGTACAGAGATCTTGTTTTTTCCAAAAGTGCTCTTCAGATATCAAGTATGTTTTTGTGGTTGTTTCAATGGTTCAAACAAACATCCTGCAGAGGACAGGAAAAACAACCTAACATGACTCTGCAGCTTATTAAGGTAGTAGTACAGTTTTAAACAGAAAAAGCAGAATTTGATATTGGAAAAATAAATAAAATCATTAGATTTCTATCATTAATAGCCTGATAAGAAATTGAATGTGAACATTTAGCAATGCATTGGAAACACTGTGTAGAAGTGTCCTTTATAAGGCACAGGCTAGCAAATTCTACTGAAATGATTAAACGATCTTTTTCCCAGCTTTACCTTAGTGTAACAGCTTCCACTCCAACCAGTTTTGTCACTGCTCAGTAGAGCTTACCTCACCTAGCCTCAAAATCCATTCAATTGCTACATTGAGCTTAAACTTCTTATCCTCATAACTTCACCTTGCATTCTTCTGAGCTGCCTCTGAAGGAGGGTTTTTCAGTTTGGCTTTGTCTGTCTGTATTCTCCATGAAGTTAATTCCAAAACCTTTCATCTCACCACTTATTTGGGTGAACTGCACATGAGTTAATTATCTTCATTTCTACCTTTTGTGTTATAATAATAATTAATCTACTAGTCACCAACCAAATGGTACCACTTCAACCTGTCAGATTTAAGAATGAGTATTTTCACTTCCTCCAGTCTGGAATGTACTAGGTTTTTAAAGGTCTTCCTCCAGTTCTGACGTGGTAACTTTTATTTTCATACCTTTATTTTCACCTAGTCTGATTTTGTTCCAGCATACATTACTGTCAGAAAACAAAGACAGTTCTGGAGGCATTCCTAGGTTACTTTAATGCCATTTATGAGGAAATGACAGAAAAGTACCATTTCTCTTTTTGTTCTTAATTTCAAAGTCTCAAGCATTTATTTTATTCTTTTTTGCAAAAATCCAATTTTGGCTTCACCAGACTGTTCATGTAGCCTAAAAGTTTGAGCAGTCTGCCTACCTGATTAGTAAAACAAATTCTGCTTTAGGTACTAAAATTAGAAACACCTTAGAGGTATCCTCTACCACACTTGTTGCGGATTGCGTAGTAAGAAAATTATCTTACAGTAGATGTTTTTCAAGTAATGCAAAGCAACAGCCTGATAGTTATCCTAAACTCAGACATGCTGAATACAAATTTTAGCATGAACCAAGCCACGCAAAAGAAAACATTTTCACTGTTACTGCATGCCGTCACGTTTTTATCTCAAAAAGGGTGAGTTCACATTTCATTATCTTTGCAATACAGTATTCTAATAAGGGCCACGTTTATGCAAGTTATAGAGTTTATTACCTGCTTTTCTGCAAAATGGTACTGGCAGAGTTTTTTCCACAACTGTCTGTCTTCACTGAGCATGTACAAAGTTGGGGTCACTTGACCCAAAGTAATAATGTCCCAGCCATCAGAGAACCTGTATAAGATGTTATTCAGCATATGCAGAGGGAGATCACTAAGCGTAAGACCATTGTTGACTTGCTGGAAATAAGAGTTAAAGACATGTAACTAGAAAAACTTGACAGTATACAGTACAAATAAGAATCTTAACTTTAGAGGTACCTCAGGTTCTAGTTTAATTTGTACAAAACCATTGAGTAATATCTATGGTTAATTCTGTCATACTTTCATTACTTAGCTACTGTTACACTCTAACTCCTGTTGTTGAAAACTTAAATGACTACAGGTACAGAAGGAGCTATAGACTGTAGCTTTATAACTTATAGCTTTCCCACTGTTAAAATAACCACATTCTAAATTCTTTATTTAAATTTCAAATAATTTTAAAACACTTCTATTCTCAGAAAACAACTCAATAATACAATCTTTGAAAATTACAGTATATTCAATGTCACCGTTGAGAAGAGCGTGCTAGAACCCTAACCTGAATCACAGAATGGTTTGGGTTGGAAGAGACCTTAAAGATCATCTAGTTCCAGCCTCCCTGCCATAGACAGGGACACTTTCCACTAGATCAGGTTGCTCAAAGCCTCATGCCTAATAAAGATATGAATTAATTATTTATAATTTATAGGATAACTACAGTTTCTCAGTTTTTATTAAGAAACAGTGTATGTCAATTTGCCTTGAGACAATTGGAGTACAGAATATAGGACTGATAAGAAGCAATATTAACGTTATGAAATAAAAGATTATGAAAATCAGAGGCAGAGAGAGCAGGTTTGTTTCTGAAGTCTGAAGATAGTTGCCCTCATATGTAAAAGAGGAATTTTGCAGGAAGTGATGGATGAGAGCACTGCTAAAGTTTTCATGAAGCGTATACACCTCTGCTGAACTTTCTCTTTAATGGGTAACCTACAGCACAACTCGTACATGACTGAATCGGGAGCCCATGCTGCCAGGCGGCACACAGCCCAACATGACATGGCTGGAGGCGATGTCCCAGCTGGCGAGGGAAGGAGCATGGGCAGCTGCCGCCTTCAGTTTGCAGAGCCGCCCAGTCGCGAGGCCCTGGCAGCACAGCAGCTGCACTCGAGCAGGCTCTCACTTATGTCAGCTTATTTCACGACCATTCATCTCACTTATAGACTAGACTTCCCATAGTGTCATCTGTTATAAACATCCCTGGGACTATCGTTCTGCTCAGGAGCATGTGAGCATTACAGATGTAATATTTCCCATCAGTTATTTCCATCTGAGCTGTTTTATGTTGGCTGAAGTGGCACGCTGGAAAGAAACAAACAGCAACTGCAATGTCTCAAAACTGTCTATGCTGTGGTTGCTTGGCATATGAAACTGCTGAGACTCAGTTCCCCATTTCTCCTCTCAATTCCAAAATTAGCTGTTCTGTTTGGATACCCGGCACACACAGCAAAGACAACTTCAAAATTTCATAGCTGTAAGCAAAAAGATGAAACAGTTGTATGACTTTACAGTGCACAGTATCTTGTGACATTTCTTCCTCCAGGAGTAGCTCAGACACTTAAAACTGCCTGCTTATCATGAGAAGTTTCCACTATAAAAACCTGGAACAGTGCATACCACATGCTTTGAACAAAGTTGCATGATCAGAGTGCAGATGCTGAAGGCATTATCCTTTTTTTTTTACAACACACAACTGTGCTAATGAACAAAGCTGTAAAATTGCTACTTCAATATTTTATTTCTGTTTTCTTGATCCACTTCTAAAATTCCTTTTAGATTAGTATTTCTTCAGTAACAGAACACTTACTTTGGAATTCAAAATCTGTATTTTTTCACCTCTATCTGACAATCTAGAGACAAACATTCTGCAATTTATTTGGGTGAGAAAAACAACTACATCTATATATCTCTACCAGAACACAGTAGTACAGACACCGTAGCAGTCCTCATTAGAAGATAGGTATTAAAACATTAGAAAGTTGATGCCATTTCATTAATTTCATATTACTTCTCTAAAAACAAGGAACGAGTAAAACTGTTTAAGATGTATTTGAAACTTTGTTTACTTACACATCCAAAAAAAATGTTCAAGATACCTCCCTTCCCCCAATTACTTTTTTAGCATGATTTAATAATATACCTTGTTCATCTGAAGGTTTTTTAGCTGTTGTTGCCACAGAAGGATAGTTTCTAGTCGGCAAATCCAAATATTGATGTTCCCTACCAACACAGATTTTCCTACTCCCCTAATCAGTATACAGAGAGTAGAACTCAGATCCTGTAGAAGATCTTTGATTAATCGTGGGTTATATTGGTCTTCCATGACTGGAAAACAAAACAAACCAAATACAATTTTGGTTAACTGAGTTAACTAAGCTAATATAGTTAGCTCAAGCTAATCAATGCTTTTTTAGATGAATCAATTACAAGTCAACTGTTTGTGTGCAAATAGCTGCCCTAATTCCCACAATGACATTCATTAATGCTGTTCCGTAAGTGCAAGATCAATAATTAGCAATTTCATAGGCAAATTTGATGTAATATTTCATGCTATGCATTTAATAAACTTAATACTAAACAGCTAGTTATACATCTGATTTCTTTTGTTCAAAGCTGATAGTATTACATCTGCATTTAATGTGGTTACCATAAAAGAAAAAAAAAATCCACATTAAGCAACAGCTTTTTTTTAAATAAACAAGAAAAGCAGTTACATACTTTAAATCTCATTATGTCATGCAAACTGAAAAACAAACATGTTGCTAATCTAAAAGCTTTCACACTTCATAAAGAATATAATTTAATAGTAACCAATAGTTTCTGAACAGAACCTAATTGTCATTTAACTTCACCAATTTGTTTCAACAGATATGATTCACTAATCAAGAGAAAACAATTTACTGAAACTGTGGAACTGGAAGTATAAAACCTTTCACTAATTAAGTATGCTATTGCTTTATCTTACAATGTGAAAACAGTAGTAAAGCTAACAAATAAACAACAAAAAATCAACTGATACGTTAGTGACAGCGAATAAATCTGAACAAGCAGATTACAAAACCTACCCTTCCGCACAATTTTGTCCAAAATGTTAAAGTAGTTCTTCTGCGCTGCACCACTCAGTGAAGTTAACTGGGATTTTGCAATTAACTGCAACAGCTAGGATGAAGAATTAAAACTTAGAAGAACGACAGAAGAAAAGGATGATTTAAAATACTCTCAGTACATACATTCACCCGCAACAGCCTAAAGCACTGCAACTGTATTTCATGATAACATTAACTACAAAGTTCAGAAAATGAAGACAGAAACACATGCAATAGCCTAAAGCACTGCAACTGTATTTCGTGATAACATTACAAAGTTCAGAAAATGAAGACAGAAACACAGAAAGCTTTAGGCATTTCCACCCGCATCCCATGAATAACTCATACAGAGATGTACATTTTCAAAATGCTATACAAGTATCAGTGTTTATCTCTGGTAGAGCACATGACATATGGTCCTTATAAAATGCCATGAAAGAGAGGGAGTCTGGTTTGGAGACTCACAAATAGAAATGTGGTCTTTGATGTGGCTGGGTCCTGAACCAGGTTGGTTCAGGAACAGATTTGGACAGATTTGGTGGCCAGGAACATCACTCTAAACTGATACCAACTACCAGACTTTCAAATTCTGAGTGAAAGTATCCTACTGGTCAAACCAAGCTGTGATGGATTTAGTGCACTGCTCATGGAGGGAAATGCTACACCTAAACTGGGAAAAAAAATTCTCTATTACTCCCACATTCAGGTCCCTGGTAGAAGAATCCACAAAAATTTAATAGTGAGCAGAATACATACTGTATCATTAGCTTCCCCATAACTATATAGTAAGGATCTCTTAACTGTCCATGTGTTTCTCTCTGGAACCACTGTGAACAGAAGAGTGGGGAGAACAGTGGGAAAGGTCTAGGGGAAATTAACCAGAATAGCTTAAGGTCTCACTGCACATGAATGCCAAACTTGAGCTACTAGAGGCAGCCCTTCTCCCATTTTACACCTTTACATTTTAGATTCAGTTTTGTAGCTGATAAGGACTGTTGCCTCTTCAACAAAAACCAGTCTCTTAGCATGAAATGTAAGAGAAGCTTCAATGTTATGACTGTTGCAGTGTTTAGAAGTGCAGCACTGAGCTCCACAATCGCAATTCATAATGCTGAGTTCGGAACAATGTTCTCAACACATCAGAAAGGGAAAGCAGGGAGCAGAAAGCAGCATCCCCTACAGAGCACTCTAAACACTAACCTGCAGAGCCGTGCTTTGTAGGACAGCATCAACTATTGGCACAGAGGGTGAACAAAGACTGAGCCTGCCAAAAATGATTTTTTGTCTTCATTTTTAAAACACTGATTTGACACTGCACTCAACATTAATGTTCCTTTGGAGGAAGAGAGAATACACCTGTTCACTCCCTGATTTAATAATGTTCCTTCTGGCTTCTCTGCATGATCCCTGACAAAACACTATGTGCTATGAAAGGAGGAAATAATTCTCCTGATGTATTTAAATACAAGCAATCTATTTATACAGCTTTTGAGACTAGATATCAAGACCTCTTTCTTGGCATTTTCAAAGCCTTTTAGTTTGATTAATAATTTAGAGCACACCTAGAGGCCTCTGGCAGTTTGCCAATCCAAGCAAGTATGTACACTTCTCTTGATTAATTTAAAAAAAATCCAGTTATGTCACTCAGACTACAGATCAAGTCAAAGAAACAAAATCCATCTGGCTGTTTTTAATGAAGATTCCAATTTCAGTGAAGGTTAATATACAAGCATTAAGACAACTCCAGCAAGTGCATGACTACACGGATCTGACACGAGTTCAGTCTTACTGATACATGCACAGCCATGTGCTTACGTTGCCTACTAGAAACTATAACTTCAAATGAATCAACTTTATTCAAACAGAAACATCTTGAAAAAAGACCATCCATATCAAACTCAATGTATCAGACATTTAACAGCTAAGAAATTATTATTATACTACAGCACAAACAAGCACAGGAAAACAGCTGAACATACCTCCTCCTACTGGAAGCCCTGAAAAGGTCTTGGGTACATATCTATATTAACTTTTAACAATGATTGGGAAGTTTTTGGTTAGTTGGAGAATCAAAAAGCATCATCTTGGTGGTCTGGGATCAAAGAAGAGCTATCCAGTAGGGCTTGGCATTCAAAAAAAATCTTCTGGATCTATATCTTGCTATTTTAAATGCAGCAAGCAGAACAACACACATAAAAGTAGTCATCATTGTGTTCATGCATAACTAGGAATAATTCTTAGAGAAGAAGAAATAGGAACTGCTGCACTGCATTAGATGAGACCTACACAAAACATGTCCACCATTAGAAACCTCAGGGAAGTAAATGAGAACTTGTATAAAGCAGATTTTTATGGGATGACCTGCTTCTTAAATTAGGTCTCAGTTGCAGACTGCCTTAAAACCTGACACATCAGATTAAACATTGTTTTTAAAAATCTGTTGCAACTTCATATATTACTGACATCCACACAGATGTTTTAATTTATTACATACACCACCACAAATGTTTCTCAGGTCAACAAATTCTACAGCTACAGAACGAGGAGCAGCTGTCATTCATATTGATTACATTTATTAGCAGCTCAGGAACTTTGAAGGTCTTAGATGCATGGTTTCTGTACATGTTGATAAAAGTCAGTTTGCCTCCATCACCTCAGAGGAACTGATGCAGGTAATTTAATTAAATTTTTGTAATTGTAAAACAAGTCTAAAATTTAAAAAATTTCAAACAAATTCTAGAATGTTAAAAGGATTTTGGAAGTATGCCTGCTATTCTAAATCCATCCTAATTTCTTAGTGTCTATCATTACTCCAGTAACAGTTTGCATGACAAAGCCAAATTTCTGAATTTTAAAGTATTCCTCCTTTCTCAACAAGCTTAAGCCTGGCTAACTAAACCAGCCATTTTATATTCTTTGGTGAACAGAAGAGAAACTGGTCAATGTGCTTGTGTTAGACTTTGCACTTTGTTCTGATCAACTGTTTTGAGCAACACAGCTTAGGCACTGCAGCATCTTAAAAAACAGGTAAAATTCTAGTTCTGGACTCATTCTACCTATTTACCATTCAAGTGAGGCACTCAAGGTTGACTCCATTTAAAACACAACTGATCCTTTTTAGATGCCTTTTTTTCTTCCTACAGGTTCAAGGCTGGAAAGTCTTGGGAAAGGTCAAGTTTGCATTTCTGCTCCCAAAACAGCATTACAAAGCAATGTTCTGAACCACAATGCATACATATAACAAAAAAATCTGCAAAGGGAATAAAACAGTCAAGTACCCTAACCACTAGCCTGGAAGTGAATCCTTTTTGCTCTGTTTCTTTTGGTCTCACATCTCTTATTTTTCTGGAAGTATAATACACTGTCTCAGCTTCACAAAGATGGGTAGAATGTGTTTTCTCTCCAAATACTCCACAGCCTAGTGGTAAGGGTGTTCTCTTGGTATGTTTATTTAATTTTGATTTGTGTCTTTTCAAGCTCTGGATACATTCCAATGACTACATTATTTGTGAACAGCCTCAACACTGAGCTGAACTCTAATCCTGATATGTCTCACATTTTTAACTTCTTTAAGAGTTAGGACAAGCACTTTACTACCTCAAGTTAGCTGACAAAAAAAACAACTTGTCTAGAGAAAGATCAGTATCTCCCAGAACAGGTACTTCCAAGTGGGCAGCTGGTTAGGCATCGAGGAAATTAAGGCATGGCATTATCTGGCTCTCTAAAGTACAATTTATGTACTTTTGGAAAATAGACAGATAGCACTGCTGTCCAGAACCTACAGATTTCATGCACTTAATTCTCAACTTAAGACTAGACCTGACCCAGAGAAGCTAACACAGTGAGACAGGGACTTGCAAGGAATCAGGAGATTAGTATGTCATAATTGTTTCTATAAACTCCATGTCACTACATTATTTGCAAAAGACAACTTGCAATAAAACTCATTCTGGAAGACACACAAAAAAAACCCACAACTGAAAAAGCTGGAGTCTCAAGTTTTAAGGGATGTTAACAAAGGCAAATGCATTTATATCTTGTCCTAGAGAAAAATTAAAAACAACAATATAAAGAGTGCAATGAATCACAGGACTTAAAGCTACAGAAGAAACAGAAACTGCAGAATATTTACACATAAATATTCTTCTGGAAATTACTGAAACCACAATCAGTGTTTCCCTGTAAATATATAGCACACTGGCCATCGCCATCCTCCTCAAGGCATTCAGAGAGCAATACAACAAGTTTTCACCAAAGAAAAGTTACTCAGTTTAAAGTTGCTTCATGCAGTATAAATTGCACATGAACAGGATATTTATGCAGTCACAAATCATCAGTTGTTCAGTGCAAAATTCTTTCTTTTGTACACATAGGCACATCAGCAAATGCAATTTCAAAATATGCGTATAAAATAAAGAGCTTACTTTGACCACGTAATTGAACCTCCTGATGTCCTGAATTGCGCTTGAAAAGTCTAAGCGGTTAAAAGCTTCTCCCAAAGTGCAATAGCCATGTCTCTGAGAAGAAGAATAAACACACTTTAAACGGAAAGAAACAAAGATAAAATTGAGGAAAACATTCAGAAAAGCACTCTGTCAGGCAACTGATGCTTATGTATAGCATGCTTCCTGGAAATAGAATGTATCTGGACCGAAGATTTATTTACTTTCTCATAGAACAAATGAAACCAGATATGCTGTTTGCAACCAACACGTACATCTGCAACCTTACTCAACAGCAAGGCCTTTGAAGTCATACTAAACATGCAGCCTGTAATCACTGGTATCTGAGCGTTCTGGGAACCTACTCCCCTATTGCATGACCACAATGCTGGTACTCCCTCATGGCTATCACGCTCCCCATTTACCTCAGCACAAGGTAGAGCTTGTTTGAGCAGTCTGAGCTTACAACCATAAGCATTACCTGATTGAGTTTATGTTCACATTTGAGGGCAAGAACAAAGCTACTTGCTCCTGGAACTGGAAGAACATATGGTCTCAACATCTAGAATTTATTTTCTGGGTGCTACAAGTTTAGGGACAGTTTTTCTTAGGTACCAAGAACAAGAGAAATTGCATTTTTTTTTTTTTCTTTTGTTGCTTCTGCACAGCTGTCTTAAGGTGAAAATGGAAGTTTCAGAGGCTGTTGTGGAACTATTTAAGGTGGTAGTGGCAGCCTGAAATGACATGGGATCACACAAGCTGAGTAAATTTGGAGTCACAAAGCCACACAGCCTTGCAGCAAATATAATGAGGCTAGAAAAACCCTACAACTAGTGAGAGAGATACTTGCAGAGCAGCATGCTAGTATGGCTCATCAGCCCAGGGAAAAGGGGGATAAATAACTATTTGAAGTTCATTCCTAGACAGACTTCCTCAGTGAATTACGCGATGGTGAAAAGATGGCAGTACAACCTAACGTTCCCTTGTGCAACCCAATGAAAGCTTTCTCTGGATGTAACACAGTGGGACAGGAGACAGTTAACTCTTCACTGCAGAGTGGTGGTAATTACTGCCCATCCTTTAGAGACTAAATTCATACTGCTTGCTCATCCAATTAATATACCTGAGATCCAAGGGCACTGCATGCTTCACAATATGTACAACTTGGCTGGCTAACAGCAGTGAATTAACACAAAACTTTTGTTGAAATTTAAATAATTGTGGCTGTTCTCTGGCTAAACGGTCATCACAAGGCCATGCTTAAGTATATTAACATGAGAAACCCCTTGAACTGCTGGAAGCACATTTCTATGAAGCTTCAGCTCAGCCTTTCCCAATGCACTATCACGACAAAATTATTCAAAGTGCATCTCCTACTTCATTTCAGCTATATACCTGCACTTGTTTTGGACTGACTTATTTTCAGCAGTCTCCCATAGCATGTTTCAGATGCTTCTTATCAATACCTTCCTAACTCTTGTCATTCTGCCCTAAAATTCAGTATCCAACTTGGAAAAAAAATCTTCCTAGCTGTGAGACTTAGCCATTTTGAAATCAAGTAAAGAATATAACCTGTAAGGAAAAAGTAAGCTAATCTAAAACATAATTTACAGAGACTCTAAACTGTTGTTCTGAACTTTTTTGTTCAAGTATGCTTCTTCCTTACTACTTTTTCATTCTGCTACTTAACTTTTAACTTTAAGCTTTTGAATTTATGCAAGGAATTACTTCAAAAAGATTAGTGATCAGTTCTGACCATCCTTGCTTTGTTTGTCTGTGGTGGGGTTTTTTTTGTTGTGTTTTTTTTCTAAACAGGAAAGGTGAACAGTCAACTATTAGAAGACAACAGCAGTGACAAGAATAAGCTAACTGGTACACCAAAATATTTTGTCCACTCTCTGAGTGGACAAAACACCCAAGCAAATCACACATCACCAGTACACCAACTTCTGCACAAGCAGGGAAAAAAAACCCACCAACACACAGGCTATGAAAAGGACAGCAGTGAGTGATTTTAGGCAATTTGTGTTTTGGCCTGAATGTAGTTCAAAAACTCAACAACCATTCAAAATACCATAATTACTGGTGACAGTCTGTCGTTGTCCCTTCCTTCTTATCCTACATTTGAGACAGCACAAAGGGAAGAGGGTGCTTGAGACTTTTGCAGACCAATGTAAGTAACCGCATCTATCACAGATAAAGACGAAACTAGAGAAGAGGGCTATGAATCTGGTGAAAGGCTCTGTAATACCCTTCAGATACAGAAGAGCCCCTGGGTCCCTGGCCTGCAAAGTGAAGCTGTCCAGTGTCTCCTCTACATAAGCTCTCTCCACAACACCATGCTCTCCCTGAGTACAGTGCTCTTTATGGTTTCAGCTCCAAAATGGAAAGCCAACTTTTGCCTGTGTGGCTAGGGGTCATCACATTCACCTTCCTCTCTCTCTCTCTCTCTCCTGGCTTGCATTACTGTGGACGAAAGACATCCTTACAGGTGTTCAAGTTCCATCCATCCCAGATAACCATAGGAATCAACATAGAAATGAAACTCGAACTTCAAGACAGTTTATCTCTACATACATATTTTAATTCTCGGCTTTCCAGGAGGTCATTAAGACAGTTTATCTCTACATACAAGGGATGTATATTTTAATTCTCGGCTTTCCAGGAGGTCATTTCAAGATCTTTCATGTTCCATTTACAGTTGCACGATCCAGTTTATATACCAAACTGAAAACATCTGGACTTTGTGAAATACAAAGGTCCTCTTTGCAAAGTTTGAAACTGAAGTTTTACTTACTTATATTCAAATTTACACCAAGATTCCAAAATATCAGGTAGCTGTCTGCTTACATCTTCTTTGGAAACATTAGTCTGGTTTTGCAAATACTTTCAATTTTAGTTCAAAGACACATGTTACAGATAGAGACAGATGGGCTTGGAGAAGTAGTGGAGAACTACTACATCCATCCTTGCAAGTTTCCACATCTCTGCTGCACTGACCCACATGAAAGCCACTTTGCTGGCTGCCTTGGCCTCACGACATGGAGGTGTACTATATTGCCAATGAAGAGAGAGTTGAATATAACCCCTAAGACCACACAGCACAAAGTCTTTTTTTTTTTAATATGCTACTTGTCAATTAAGCAACATAAAGACTGTAGGAATTGACCCCCAGCATGCAAGACTTACTTCCCTGGTGCTTTCTTTATGAACATAAATCCACTTTTCACGATAAAAACCTAAAATAAAAATCAAAATATAAGCATTTTTGGGCTTCCACTTTAGGTAGTGCCTTCTAGAAAGAAATTGAACAAAACAGACGATCCTCAATAAAATGCTTCATAAAACAGGAGAAACAGTAGAACAGTTTTAATGAAGGAAGTTTATAAAGGCTGAAAAGGATTATTACAAATTTTCAGAAGTTATGTACTTCAAGAAAATAAAGGAAAATAATTTTGTTTAACTTTTTATAATTTTATAAATCAAAACACAAGAGTTAGCACACAACTAGCAGACATAGCACATCTTTTGTTGATTGTGTGCCAACAACAGTCAATTTCTCCAACAAAACCCCTGATCTTTTTTAACCCAATAGGCTCCTTACCACTTAACACAGGAAAGTACAGAAATGAGCAACCTTTTTGTTCCTGAACACTCTACCCGTCTAACGTACTTTCTTCTGTAAAGGTGCCAGCTCTGCATCCACTTGGTTCAACTAGCTGCAGAATGCTGCAGGGAAGTCAACTACACAAGACTAATGAAGGTAACTAGGCAGACCTTCAGCTTTCAGGAGCCTGGTGTGCTGACCAGCTATATGTATTACATACATATAGCCACTTGAATCTTTTGTATACTTTACACCCAGACAAGCCTGGGGAAGCTCACAGCTTTCTGCGAGACCATCTCTGTTATAATTTTGGGAATATACAAATAATGGAGATCACTTCAAGATCAAAGCATTAGAAGCACCAAAAAGTTGCTTATCAACTTACCTTTTTTTACCTACTCTACTTCAATAAGTTTACTTGCTGTCATACACATTTGCAGTCTGAAGTACAGATGATCTTTTACAAGTGAGAGCTGATAAAAAACCTACTCTACTTCAATAAGTTTATTTGCTGTCATACACATATTTGCAGTCTGAAGTACGGATGATCTTTTACAAGTGAGAGCTGATAAAAATGACTGATATTTTAAATTTTTTATGAAAGGGGACTTTTTTCCCAATAAATTCAATACTGATAAAGTCTTTACCAAGAGCTATAGGTATTATGACAAAATATATTTACTTATGAACTAATTCTAGCGCTGTATCACTAATCAGAATTTGAATTAAGCAAAAATAAAGCAGCAGAAGCTTCCAGAAGCATTCAGAAGAATTTTATCTAAAAGTAGTCCATAAAACAAAACAATGGTTAGTGTCAGAAGACATTTATTATTCAAGAACTACTATTCTTAAATGAATTACCTTTGGATCTTTGGAAAACATACAACAGATGATCACTGTCACAGTTCCATTAAGATGTATCACTTCTGACACCAGAATTTGTTGCTAATACATTAGTAAACATAACTCAGAAGGCTACTTTATAGATGAGTATAAATAAACAGCTATTACAAAATTTTGCTGAACCTACAAGCATCTTCTAAAATAAATAAAAAAACAGCCTTACATTGCGAATCTGTGTTATTCCTAAAATGATCTTTTTTCCTTTTCTTGGCTGCAAACTCACAGTCTTCAGTACTGTATATTTCTTCATCTTCCTCATCACCAGTCAAGATGCTGAAATAAACACATCTAATTAGAATAGCAGTGATTAAATATTTAAGATGCATACAGCTTATAATTCTCTGCATTAAAGTCCGCCAGCTGGGGAAAAATAAAAAGTATTTTTAATGATGTTCTTCCACCTGATGGTCTATAGCAACACATTCCTTTAAGAGAGAAGCTGTCTTGCTCTGTTCTTCCCAGTGGAGTTGAATTTTATGCCAAAGAGATTAAATACACAAAAGTATCTTCCTAATGGGTATCTTGTAAGTCATTACTGACATTTAGGAAGGACTACTGAGGAGACAGTACTAGATGGACAACTGGCTGCCTGCAAAGCTCTAGGGTACAAAAATTCATTATTTGAAACAAGCCAAGCCTTGACCTGTGCACACAGGTAAAAGTCAGCACAGAATTACTGCGCGTCCCCGCAGAAGCAGAAAGCCAGCAAAGACAGACCTCTCTCTTACTACTGTCAACTTTGCAGCAAATTTGCGTCTGAATCATAACACTGCACGTAACTTATGTGTCACAATACTGTTTTACCAATGATTTGTAGGGTATCAATAACCATACAGCCCACTCTCTCGTAGGGAAACAGCTATACCTACGTCATTTATGACAGTTAACCATGTAATGTAATGCAAAGGACTGTACTGAATAACTATAGTGTATATACAGATAATGTGAGCGTATATATATAAAAAATATATATGAAGAAACTATTATAAGAATTCTGTTGGATAAACTAACCTTTCTAAAATTCATATACATTAAAAAACTGCCTGTGCCACATAAAGCCTACACAGTTTCATAAGGCTTTGCTTTCAATTTTTGCAGATAATTTGAAGGAACAGAAATACAGATAAGAATTGGTGTTCATTTTTCTAGCACAGAGAAGGAAGATACTTCACATGAAGGCCACAGCCATGGACAGATAAGCAGAACAACTAAGGATATGTAGTAGTGAAGCTTAACTATAGGACTATTTTATTTCCCCATTATTATTCTTTGACAAGAAAGTTCTATGCAAAACCCTTCCTATTCATTACTGGTTTTCAATCCAAATTCGCCAGGTGAACCAATCAATGCCAGTTTGAACTTCAAATTGCACCAACAGCTGGACATTGTAAAACTGAAAGACACCAGTTTATTAAAAACACCCTTGTACTTGGGCATTAAGTTGCAAAAATCAAGTTGTATTAGTTTATTGTTACTAGTTTATACAGTTAACGTTTTCAGGCTTGAATCTTCTGTTAAGGAGAATGACTAAACAATACTGTAAAAAAAGCTTAGTTTTCCTATTTGTTTTCCTAATCGCTCTAATCAGTAAATGCTAGCTCAGCTTAAAGATACACAAGTTGAGAAGACTCAGAAAGTTGCTTTCATCTTAGGTTTAAATACTGAAAAAAGCTCACACCTCTGCATTCAGAGAGAGCTCAATGCAAGGTGAGTTTTTTTTTCCCCAAAGCTATTATAAAGGAAATTTCTTTTTAATCTCACCAAAATAATTAATTTAATTGCGTTTTTAGCATATTGACCACATCACCACAACACATGAGACGCTATTGCAGAATCAGAAAAGCTGTTACAGAACCAGAAATAGAGCCCAAAGCTCCCAGAGCTAGCTTTATCATCCTAACAACAGATAAAAGTCTAGAGATATAGCCTGATACTCTGCAACATAATTCAGGCAGAACAGAAACATGCTCATTCCCACTGACCCAGTGAAAGGAGGAGAGGAGGGGAGGCAGCATTCCTGAAGGCCTGCTTCAGAAGAGGAATGTTATTCTGGCACGATTCCTTCTTTTGTTCCTGGAGAGGAAGTGTCCCTAGAAGACCATTTAGACCAGTAACAAACCTGAAGTGATTTAAATCCCACCTCTGCCCCCACACTTCCTCGAGCATCAGATAAACAAGCAAGGCAGCTTAAGGACAGTCAATCAATACAAGGAATTGTGAAGATGAAGGGGGCTATTTCAAACACCTTTATCTGTCATTCAAATTTGCCTGTGACATTCCTGGAATTCTTCATGTAGTTTTAAAGAAAACCTGATTCGACTGTTATCTCTGAGGATCTTCTTCTCTGAGGCTTTATTTCCTCCTGTGCTGTCCCAGTTCACAGTGGAGAGTCATTCCCTACTTATCTGTAACCATCACCATTCTTCTTGACAAACTTTAAGTTTCTTGCCAAGAATGAAAGCAAGGGTCCCCCAGACATCACAAGAATGGGACAGAAATACACGTACTCCCCCAGTAACTATTAGCCTCCCTTCTAGAAACCTGGAAAGCTGGTTAACAAGTAGCAAAACTGCTCCACTGTTTCCCAAAGCAACCCCTGCCCCCCTGCAAACACCAAGCTAAGATACAAGAAACTGAATCAAGTGCTGCATGTGCCACATGTTTTAACAGATGCCTTAATTTAATGTTTTTACCATAATACTGCACATGACAACTAAGCCCACCTGGAAAGACTTAAATACATGCCTAATACTGCCAATTTACAACTATCCTTACTTTCTTGTCTTGATGATGCACTTCTTCATAAAGAAATATTGTAGAGCTTCTAAAAACAAAGTACCTGGCATCCTTAGAACAATACCCTAAAAGCATGCAAGAATTTCAGCTTTTTCAAAAAAGTAATTTCATAACAGTATTTAAATAACCTCTTGGATATGACACTTAAAACACTGGAAAACTTAACAGGGTTATCCTAACTCCAACTATTCTTCCTCATCCCCTTGATTCTTTTCTCATGGAGGAAGGAAAGATCTCGAGTCATGCAATTACCTACTAAGACACACTAAGTGTTTTCGAATAGACTTAAAGCCATCTATAGCTTGATCAGGCATGGAAAATTCTGAGGTAAGTGCCTGCATCAAATATCATTACAATGTATTAACGAAATGACAAAATTATCTAAGACTAGATTCATAGATTTCTAGGTTGGAAAAGACCCAAATATCATTACAATGTATTTACGAAATGACACAATTATCTAAGACTAGATTCATAGATTCATAGATTCATAGATTTCTAGGTTGGAAAAGACCTTAGAGATCGAGTCCAATCATCCCTAATCCCCATTAAACCATATTCTCAAGTAGATCATCCACCCTATTCTTAAACACATCCAGGGATGGGGACTCAACCACCTCCCTGGGCAGCTTATTCCAGTGGCCGACAACCCTTTCAGAGAA